CTTCCCCCGGCCGCGGGGTAACCCGACCCGGGGGCTTCAGGGAGCGCTGCGGGCCGCGCGGGGTCTGCCGCGCCATAAATCAAGCCGCCTGATTAATCTTTACAATTTGTCTTTTAAAACAAACACGAACGAATTATCAGCTCGTTAACTGCGATTTTATCACCTGCCTAAAACAAACAGCCCACCCAGCCTCCCCCCTACCGCCACCTCTCCCCAAAGAAAAAAAAAAAGAAATAAAAAAAGAAATAAAGAAAAAGAAACCCGTGGTGCTGGATTATTGCAGCCCGGCAATAATTAAAACCTCCGTATCAATTGATAACGGTGGAGCGAGGAGCTCCGTTCCCCGCCGGGTCAGAGCGGGCCTTGGCCTCCCGCTCCCTGCTGCAGGCCGAGCCCCGGGAAACGCGGCCCCGTTTATACGGGCGCCCCGCCCCGCCCCCCCCGGGCACGGCGCTGCCGCCCGTGCGCCCCACTTGGAGCGAGGCGCCGAGAGACCTACCTGCAAGCGCCGGGAGCGCTTTATGCTCTCCCTTCTCTAAAAACAAAATTCCGTTGTTGGTGGTGGTGGGGGGGTAAGGTGGGGCTTTTTTTTCTTTTTTTCTTTTTTTTTTTCCTCACGGTGGGTTGCTGCATGTGCAAAGAAAATCGGTTCGGAGATGGAGGGAACAGCTGGATTTGTAGACAGCTCGCTTGCTTTTCTCTCTGCTAACTTTCTTCTTTTTATTTTTTTTTTTCCTTTTGTTTTGTTTCCCTTTCCTCCTTGTTCCCTCCGGTCTGCTAGGGGCCCGGGCGGGCTCCGCAGCGCGGGGGGCACTTGCCGCCCCGAGCCGCGACCCCTCTGCCACCAAGCCCGGCCCTGTCCCCATGGCGGCCTGCCGGGACCGGCCACCTCGTCCCAGCTCCGCCGCCCCTTCCCCGCATGGAGCCGGCGGAGGAGCTGGCGCCCAGCCCGGCGCTTGCGACCCCCGCGTCGGAGGCAGGAAGGGGCGAGGGGCGGCCGGACCCTCCCGCCGAGACCCGCGGGTAGCCCGCAGTGCCCCGGGTTTGGTCTGCTAAAGCTCTCGTAGGGATGCGGGGAGAGGGCAGCGCTAGCAGCCGCGGGTCCCCGTGGGGCTACGCAGAGTCCCTCGGGGGGCTGGGGAGGGGAGGCGGAAGGGGGCAGCGATTGTGGAGGGAGCCCCGTGTCGCTCGGGCCAGACGAGCTCCGCGGCGAGGAAAGGGAGTTTTATTATTATTACCGTCATCATTATTATTATTGTTATTATTTAAAAAAAAAAAAGTTCATTTCCTGGCGAATTTGGCAGTGGCGGGTGACGTCAGAGCTCCGGCGTCGCCGTGACTGGGGCCGCGGGGCCGGGGGAGGCCGGAGCCCCGCACCCCGCGGCGCTGCCCGGCCCGGCGCCCCCCCGTGCGGGCACCCGGCGGGGGGCAGCGGGGACACACGCAGCCCGTCCCCGGGGCCCCGCACCTCCCGGCCCGGCGCCGCCGGCCGGGGGGCCCAGCTCGGCGGGCCCGGGTCCGCTCGCTGCCCCCCTCGCCGCTAGCCGGGAAACGGGGGCTCTGCGAGCAGTGTTTCCCCTTTTCTAGGAAACGAGAGGCTTGGGGATGGGAGCGCCCGTGAAACAAGAGCTGCTGGCAGCTCCCCGGGGTGTTTGCTCCTTTCCTTTATTTTTTACTTTTTTTTTCTGGTCCTGCCTGTCCCCAATGAGGGCGGGATTCCCGGCGCTTTGCAGGGGGGCTGGGGGAGGCCGGGTGGGCGCTGCTGAGCGCGTCCCGAGCGAGCCCCGGCGTGCGCAGCCAGCGCCTGTTGCTGTTGCGAAGCCCTGCGCGTGTCCGCAGACACGAAAGGGATTTTGCACAAAAGGGCTCCGGGATAAAACCCAAGGCCGCGGGCGGCCCGGCTCCCCCCGGGCCCGGCCGCCCCCTGCGGGGCGACGGAGCCGGCCCCAAGGGCCGCTCTGCCCCGGGGCCCGCGGCTCCTCCCGGAGCCCTCGCGTTTATTTAGTTTTGCCCATTCAGACGGTTATTTCAAACTATCGTGACAGCAACGACCACGCCGGGATTCGCTCCCCTCCCGGCTCCGCGAGCTGCTTTCCTTGATCTTTGCTTTTATTATTACTTTTTTTTTTTTTTTTTTGGTCTGCATTAACGCCCTCGCGCCGATCTGGCCGTGCCCCCGCCCCCTGCTGCTCCCCCCCCGGCCCCAGGGCATCCCGGCGGCGGCGCCGGCAGCCGGGGCCGGAGCCGCGCGCCCCGACGGAGCCACCTCTCCGTCGCCGAGCCCTTTGCGCAGCCCTGCCCCGCTGCGCGCCCCCCCGGGGCTCTCCCCTCCCGCCCCTCCGTCCCTGCATCCCCCCCGCCGGGCTCCGCAGCCCCCCCCAGCGCCTCCCCCGCCCCGGCGGAGCGGGCAGCGCCCGGGCAGGGAAAAGCCCCCGCGGCGGCGCCGGGCGAGGATGATGCGGGCGGGGAAGGGGGGCGGAGGACGGGGGGGGTCCGCGCCCCCCCCCGGCCGGCTCCGTTTGGGCCCGGGGGTGCGGTCGGGGGCGGTGTGGGGCGGCGGGATTGGCTGGCCCGGCCGCCGGCCCCGCGCGCCCCGGCCCGTGCGCGGCGGCGCGGCCAGCTGGCGCCAGCGCTCATATAGGATGCGCGGGGATGGGAGCGAGCCGGCCAGAGCAGCGCGCTTTGCCATCTGAGTAACACCCGCCAGCCCGCGCTGCCTCCTCCCGCCGCCCCGCGACGGCTTTTTTTTCTTTTTCTTTTTTTTTTTCTTTTTTTTTCCTTTTTTTCCTTTGTTTTTCTTTCTTTCTTTCTTTTTTTTTCCTCCTCCCTTTCTCCCCTTCTTCGCGGCACTCGCATCCTCCGAGCGGGCTCCATCGCTCCTAGCCTCCCGCACGGGTAAGTGTGGGGCACGGGGGGGGGGCACGCTGCTGCCAGGGCTCCAGCAACATCCCCCCGTTTCTCCTTTTCTCCCTGTCTCCTTCACCCCCCTTTTCCTTTTGTGTCTGCTGGAGTATCTCCTATAACTACGTTATATTAGCCCTGCCGTCCCCTCTACCTC